TTTATAATTTTTGCATCTTATTTCTGTTTTCATAAAATCAGTATATAGGCTGGAAACCTGTGACCCGATCTTTTAAGATCATTCTCAAGTATAACAACGCCACGTACTGGTAACCTTATCTGGTGTGTGTGTGTGTGTGTGTGTGTGCATTGTATTTTTCGTACATCAAAAACAATATTTTAGCATGTATTTTGGCTCGAATAACCAGTTTATTAAAGTCAAGAGAACATTGGTCAAAATTTCAAAAACATAAAAAAATTTATTTTGTTTGTCGTTTCGTATTTGAGGTAGGACATTACACGTAATGCGTATTCGGGATATTTAATTTATTTTTTTTTACAATAGAACGGATAGGTTTAACTGCATTTTAAGATAAAAACCTCTTTATTAAGGAGGGCTTGTCTTGAACCTTTGACAAGCTAACAATTAAAAAACCACAAAACAAGACTTTAGATTTTAACAAACAAAACAATGCAGCCTACCGTAGATAGGGCATATTTGAGGTGCTCATACTTTTCCTTTACGCAACCAGTCTCCGTACCTGATCTCTAAAACTAGTTAGGGTTCCTAATAACCAAAATACTAGTTAGCGACTCTCATTCAATTTTTCACGAATGAGAGACATATTCATTGTCTCTTCATAATTTTCCAAAAATACATCCACATGTCCATATTTTTCCTGGATGGTAGACGATCAGCGCAACGCCGCACATGTACGATACTATCATAGAAGGTCTTTAATAGAACCTCTTATATTTCTTTGGTTGTGGATAGGAGAATAAATCACTGCATCATTAACGAAATCATTGAATTAATAAGCCAACTTTTTACTTTTTGACTTTCAGTAATCCATGTTGCTAACATGGGATCTTCAGGTTTGAGTTTTTTTGCTTCACCTATGAGATATCTGATTTTTTTATAAGTATCAATGCACATATCCATTAGTTGAGACCATAATAGATAATTGTTTTTTTCTAATATGATGCTGAAAGGGAATGCAAAATTGTCTTAGTGAATAATAATGGGTGATAATTGGCTATTTTGTGGAACAGGAACAATTGGGTTGAGGTTCATCTTATAGTAGGGGATTTGTGTTTGATTAATTAGACTCTGATACAATTTAGAAAAACAATGATGTCTAGAAGGTGAATTTTTCATTTGTATTCTTCTCCTTCTAGTAGGAAATATACAGGCAGAGCTCTAAATACTTTAGCAATTTTATTCTAAGAAAGTATAGTAATTTTCTATAAAATTTGATATAATTCCTATACAAGATTTGATCTCAATAAATAATAATTAAATTACAAATTAATATTTAATCTAGTTTCTATAACTAATCGGATTATAATAGAATCGCAACTATCATGTCAACAATTGTACTGTACGAATGAAGTGCATTGGGATGACTTATTACAGCATTGAACCTGGAAAGTGCCTGTGCAAAGAAATACGACAGCAGATTACCCTTGACAACAGATGAAAGCAACGACACCAAGAAGAGCAACTACGCGAGTGAATAGTAAGCTATCTCCAACAAGTGGTTTAAACACAGATCCAGATCCACCAAGCCCCGCACAGATACCAATTCCATAAACAGCTGCCTGAAAAGCATGGTGCTCATTTATTATCAAAACCAACATTCACTAGAGAATTCAAATGATAAATGTACTTCTCGGGACACACCTGACGAACATCTGGGTTTTCATCATTAATTGCAAGCTTCTAGCATGAAAGGGACAAAGGTACCATAATATCTGTACCACCAACATGAAGAATAAGTACATAGAAAGTTCTCAATCAAAGTATCAGAAGCGCGGTGGTGCTTACTTAAGAGCAGCTTCCTTCCAATGCTCGTCAAATATACAAATGGCGATTCTCCTCCCTTCTGATGTTTTATCCTTACCCTGCATAGTCAATTTATCCTATCAGCAAGGCAAAAGCAAAGCGTTTTTCTGAGGTGATTGTGATTCTTCATGCTTGCCTCGTATCGTCAAGTATGTTTAATCATTGTGTTTGGAGCCGGTTACCAACATCATTCACTAAAATGATGCAGTATAAAATCCTTTAACATGAGGGGCAAGGGTTGCAAGCTAAATCTATCTATATACATGTTCATAATTTCTGACGTAGAAAAAACCACTCTTTATAGTTCCCAGACAGCTGCCACAGCTGTGCATGTCAAGTGCTCTAGCATAGACCTTTTTCAAGGACTGAAGAAAGAAAGGTTAAGGCGAGCGAAAGGATAAAACCGCAAGGATGCCTCAGGTGCCAGGATGACTGTTGAGCTGCCAGATCATCATTGAGAAAGAAAAAAAAATCGAATAGAGACACAAAAACACTTCAGATGAACATAAGACAAGCACACGCATGAAGATATTCAAGCAGTAGAGAAGCTACCAGAACAGAGGCCCTAAAGAAAAAAAGATGTAGAAGTAGCAAAAGCTAAGTTTAAAGGACAGCAAGAGAAATTTAGCCTAAAAACTGAAGGAACAAGTCGTAAAATATTGAAGAATAACTTACCCACATAGGGGTTACGTAAGCTGAAAGCTCATCAAAGAAAGAAAGGTAAGAAAGATGCTTCGAAGGTTTTGATCATCAATGTGCCCAGGCAATCATCAGCCTTCAGCAAGGAAAGAAACAAAAGCAAACAATAATCCAGATATTTATATATTTAAGAAGACAATAATCCATTAAATGATATGCCAAAGATCCATGCACAAATATTTCAACATTATACTTGATCAAAAAGCTCATCTTCTTCCTCAAGCGGCTCCCCTTCTTCTGCTTCAAAGTCCTCTGCTTTGACCCTCTCCGCTGTTAATTTCTTGTCTTCTAACTGAGCTGGCTGTGATGACCTGCTTTATCTCCTCCACAGTGGACCTTACTTGGCTCTCATCTAAAAGTGGTCCGGATACCTGAGGGAGCGAAATCCTAAATTAGCACAATTCGAACTCACGAAATGAAGAAGCCTAATGCAGCACAAATAAGAATCAATTTCATTTTTCATTCAACAATTATTGTCCACCAGATCATAAATGAGTTATAATACCAAAGGTTTTCCTGACTGGAATGACAATTCCTTGGATATAAAACTGTTGACCGGAATAGTGATTTTTCCCCGCTTCCAACAATAAAAAAATGGTGAACTTTGCTGATGGGGTATTTTGATTTTTTTTATATGGGAGAAATTAGTCATTCTGCAATTATTTACAAACAATTCAATTTTTCTTTTTGATCTTTTAAGAGCATTATATAAAAAATATATTACTCTTAAAAGTCAAATTTATTTAAAGTATAATTGGGGTCATTGCTAAGACATCCATACCCTAAAAAAATAAAAAAACCTTGTAACTAAGGTTAGTAATGTATTTTCAAGCTAATTTTTTAGCAAATAGGTTGATTGTGGTTGATTTGATCATTTTATATTTTTAAAGAACATCACAAAGATTTTTATACTCTTATAAGCATTAAAAAAAATTAAAACCTGCAACCAATTATATTTGTATATTTTTAGGTTGACTTTTTTTGTAATGAAAATGTTGGATGGAGGGCAAATTCATCTTTTAATAATTTATTATTAATTAAAAATAAGTTGTTAGCATGTGTAAGACATACATTAGCAAGTGGACAAATCTCATGCCCTTGAGCAATGTGTGCAGATCACTCCATGTCTAAATACCTTTTTTAGGGCGGCATTCGAAGCGATTCATCGTGTTCTTTCCAGCGATGCTATGCGTGTGGACGGAGAAGGGGTGATGGGACTCTAGTGAACCTTTTTCTCCTCCCTCTTTTCTTTTTCTTTTCCTATCTAAAAAATAAATTTATCCTTTCATTTTTTTTTATATCTAATTTGTTCTTTGTTTATTTAATTATTATTTATTTAATTTTTAACTTTTTTTTACTGATTGTTTTCTTTATTTTATTCCTTCATTATTTGATTTTATCTAATTTTTATATCAAATTTAATTTTTATTCTTTTGATTTTTTATTTTTCTTTATCTATTTCCTAATTAATTTTTATTTTCAATTTCACCCATCATTATTTGATTTTAAATTATTTTGAATTTCTTTTGTTTTGGAGTTTTTTTTATTGCATTTTTTTAATTTCACCCTTTAGTATTTTATTTTTTTTGTAATTTTACTTTATTATTTTTTAGATTTTTTTTAAGTAGTTGGTCACGAGTTTTAAAGATTAACAAGAGTTCACTTTAATTCTTCTTTTTTTAGATTGTGTTTTTTTTTAATTTTATAATTTGACATTTGATTTATTGAGAATTAATCTTTGTGTTTTTTTTCAACTTTTTGATGAGTTATCCAATTCTATATTCATATTCACAAGGTTGGCAGGGTAACATATGTTGATATAAATATTTTTTTTTCTTAATTTTTTTTATTTGAACATTGGGTTTGTTTATAAGTAAGCTTCATAGTTTAACCCACATGGGCTCAAGTTAGATTATTATTATTATTTTATTTTTTTACATTTTTAATTTTTTTTGTTAATTTATTTATTGTTATTGCTTCTTTTTTTAAAAAAAAATCATATTATTTAAATTAATCAACCTTATTAAATAACATTTTTTATATTGAAAAAAAAATTAACCAGCCTCCAAAATAGTATGAGCACCCTATCTAGTTCATTCTATTTGTCAACAACAAATAAATTCAATTACCAATTTAAAAGAAAATTCATGATCACAATATACACTACGTGTTGTTTGATAACACTAAATGAAATATTATGGTTAGAATGGGGGTGAAAGTATTACACTCACTTTGTAGGTGTTCATAAAAGGAATAAAAATGAAGGGTGAAGATGATAACTAAAATAAAAATTAATCATGCAGAATAAAAATAAGGAATGAAAATATTTTAAAAAAAAATGATATATTATTTATATTCATTATATATCAACGAATATCATTATTATTATTGTTGGCATGAATAATAATGATAATATTTTTTTTCTAGTTTAGGTGGTGTTTTGTGACCATGTATTTTTAATTTTTTACTAGTTTGCCTCCGTTAGTTTTATTTGTATTATTCTTAACCCTTTAATTTAAAAAAAACATATTTTTTATTCCTTTTTTAACCATAAGCTTGAGTTGCTCTTAAATTTTTAGATTATATTGCACCATAAAATAATATCCATTCAATGAAATTTATTATATAAAAATAACTTAGAGACACATGTCATAATATGATGGGATGTAATATAATGGTTTTAAAGGCAATATGAATGTTAGGTCAAATGAAAACTAAAAAACCATTTGAGAATACAGTCAATCACGTGGTTGGCCGCATTTCCAATCAGGACCTAAATAAATATGATTTCAAAGGCAAATGATTGTCATTAATAAAAATAAAAATAGAAGGAACAAGCTAGTATTAAATCAAAAGACTTATAAAAGCTTTTAACCTACTATTATTATTATTATTATTATTATTATTATTATATTACAATTCCCAACACTTTTTTCCCACCTTCATCATATTCCACCACCACCACCACCTATAATATTAATATTAATTTAAAAAAATATTAATTTTTTAAAATATATTATTATTATCATTACTGCCATTAATATATATAATTGCTTCTATTACTTTTATTACCATTAAAACTAATAAAATTATTATTTATTTTTATGTTAAAATTTAGGTGATAAAAATTTTAAAAATTATTCTATTTCTAATAATAAAAATAAAAATATCACCTTAATTTTTTCAATTTTCATTCCGATTCCTCCGTTTCCGTTCCAAATATCCAATTTCCGGGAATAGAAAACACCTAGAAAGTTCGAAGATGTTAAAGGACATGGACGATTTGGGCAGGACATGGATGATTTGGGCTAGAGGCTCACTAGGCAGGGCCCTACCTGACCACACATATGAACTTGAATCTTGAATCTTATCCATGCGAGTTAAACTCTAAATTATTTGGGATCACATGCTAAAATCCCGCCGCCCATCCCAATACTATTTACCATCTGTCCACGTCCGACCATTCCATTTCCTTTACCTTCACGACCCCTCGCTACATACCCTTCGATTTTTCTTGTTCTTGGCAGAAAACAAGATCACTGTATTAAATTAGGAGTCAAGATAATACAACCAGAGATGAGGAATCTATCGTCAACAACTTCAACAAGGAGCAGGAGTGTACCTACACCATGTTGTAGCAAGGTGGGCATAAAGAAGGGGCCATGGACACCAGAAGAGGATGAGCTCTTGGCAAACTACATCAGGAAAGAAGGTGAAGGGCGATGGCGCACGCTCCCAATGCGGGCAGGACTTCTTAGGTGTGGTAAGAGCTGCCGCCTCCGCTGGATGAACTATCTCAGGCCTTCTGTTAAGAGAGGGCGTATTGCCCCAGATGAGGAAGATCTCATACTTAGGCTTCACAGGTTGCTTGGTAACAGGTATCTGTAATATTCGCTGTGTAATGATCGGATTTTATGCTCTCGGGGTTGCTGATTCTTTTCTCTCTATTCCCATCAGCTGGGACATCCATAATTAGGTTGATTTGGATCTCTCTCTTGTTTTAAATTTTTTTTTAGGGTTCTGTTATGCTCGTCCTTCCTCAAAAAACTAGAAGCTTGACTTTCGATTAACACTTTAAATTGTCTCAGAAACGTAATTGTTGGGCTTTTGACTTAAAAGGGTTTCCCCTTGTTTATTTCTCTTACCTTTCGCTTAGCAATCCGTGGTTCTATCATGATCGTGAATCATGATGATCCGATCTCCATCTTTTTGGAACAGCTATATATCCATACATGCATGTACGTGTGTGCACGTATTTATGTTGTTTTTCTTTGATTATCGTCATATTTATGTTATTGTTCCTTTTGTCTTCTTTTCTGGTTCCTATAGCAATAGCGTTCTAAAACTAACTCCAATACTAACTCCAATGTATTGTATTACTTTATTTGTCAACGTTTTACACTGTTCGATTAAAAGAGAATAGAGAGTAGATGGGCAGATTTAGGGTTATTGGAAGTCGCCTTTTGGCTTTTGAATTTGAAATCTTAGATCGATGCTTGCTAGTTAGTAATTTTGTCTGTCAATCTTACTTTTGTTTGGTTTTCCTTCTTGGAACAGGTGGTCTTTGATAGCAGGGAGAATACCAGGGCGCACAGACAATGAGATTAAGAATTACTGGAATACCTGTCTCAGCAAGAAGCTCATTAGCCAAGGACTAGATCCTAGGACTCACAAGCCTTTAAAACCTAACCCCGATTCCTCAGAAATTGCAAATGTTCCAGTCCAGAATTCTAACCCTAAATCTTCTCCACTGGATGAGAATGGGAAGGTCTATCGAACTGTAGCCACTAGGGTAAGTGAAAACTTTACAGTGACTAACCTGGATCAGTATCCTAACCACGTTGCTGCTGATGCTACCGAAAACTGGCCACATAGTGATGGTTTTAAGATGGGATCATTACAAAGTGGTAGTGGACGAAAAAATGAAGATGATTTCATTGAAGATATTGGAAATGAGGACACTTTCTCCTCATTTCTGGATTCCTTGCTCAATGAAAATGTGTTCGTGTATCAACAACAACAACAGTTACAGCAGCAAAATATGTTTGGACCTTCTTCTAAGCTTGCGGTTTCTTCTTCACAAATTATCAGCCACGCAAACATTTGGGAAGCTGAAGTCTCGCCTCCAATGGCAGCCTTAGGTGACAAAGGCGTGGGCGGGGCTTCAAATATATAGTCTTCCAGTTTGAACTCAATCCTGCACCACAAGTGCTTAAAGAAAATCAAACGGGTGTGATTAACGGTATGTACTCATGTAATTGTATTGTGTTGTTCCAGTAATTCAGTGTGCTTATAACAATATTCTTGCTGTTCGAAATTCTACGTGTGATGATTGCTTAAGGTAAAATGTATCACGTACTATATGCATTGCTATATATGAACTTAGTTCCATACTAGCCAAGGTCAAAGTGTTCTAAGCTTTGCAAATTATGAAATGTAAGTGGTTCAATCTCCCTCCCTTCCTCTCTCTCACACACACAAACCCTATTTTCTCTAGTTCATTCGGAAAGTCTATGGATCAGACTCCTAATTATGACAGCTAATTCTTATCGACATGTTAGCGAAAAGGTAATTAATACGAGGAAATTTCTTTA